ATATATATATATATATATATATATATATATATATATATATATATATTACATGGAAAGTTATTTAAAATATCACTATGTCAAATGTTGATATCGATCAGAAAAAAGTGGTTCACATGAAAATATAGATTTATCATTTATCTCATGAATTCTAATAAGTACCTATCGGTAGTGCTTCCAGAAGGGGGGCTTATCAACTATTTATTATTCATGTAGAAGTTACTTTGTCGTATGCCATGTACCTTGACATCACTTCATGTCAGTGGTATATTTCAGCAGGACAATGCTCTCTACCATACTGCACGAGTTGTAATGGAATACTGTCAGGAACATGAAGATCTTAATCCCATTATGCAATTACTTGTCCACTCTGCACTCCACCACATGCCTTTAAGCAGTTAAAAGACATGCTGTAAACATCCTAGCACCGAGTCCCTGAGTGAAATTTTAATGTTTTTCTTGCTTCTTTGCGAGCACATTGAGAGCCAAAACCTTATGCCTGACAGCCAACAGACACTTTAATTAAATTTATTGTAAAGAAACATTGAAATCCACGGTAATGATGTTAAATTGAAAAAATAAAAAGAATGTACTCGAAATCATACTTTATTTAAAACAACTATTTAACTGATCTTTTAAGATATTATGAAAACGGTGAACTCATCTGACTTCAATCGGAAAAAATCGCCTACACTTCTTGATATATTTACTGATAATTATAACATGAAGAGCAATAATAATTATTAGAAAAGACAAAGTAAAATTTAGATCTCAATTTATCCTTCATTGTTGAAATAATTTCTTTTATTTATAAAAGTAAGAAACTAAAAATAATGTTTTCATCACTAAGTAAATAGAAAAGATGATAACAGTTTTTATTAAATTCATTAAAATCTTGATATAACAAAACTTTTTGATGTAATCATTGAAATATAATATATAGTATTTAATATATTTAAGTTCACACAAATGTACTAGTAAATCACTATCCATAGCCTTATGTTGAAAAAAAAAATTTATTTTACAGCATAATATTATTTGTCAATGAACTTAACCGAATGCTTCTCCATAGATCAGAAGAGACAAAAGATTTATACAGTGAAAATGTCAAATCAAAATTGACATAATAACTCTGTTAGGCTACAAATGCATTGATCCACCCTCTAAAGATATGAACTTTACATCTTAAAAAAGTTACTTACATTTCTTTTTCCTTTCTATTTTTAATAATGTTCTGAGTAGTTAAAGTAATTACTAGAAACACTTGGTTAATATAATCTATGTTCTTACACACCTATAATAGCACAAACCAAAATTACATATTCATTGTGTGAAAAATTACTTCAAATATTTTTCTTAAGAAATTTTACATCTTTTATATGTAATGACATGCTTCCTCTGTCCGTAAGTTTTATCTCCATTTAAGAGAGCAAGCAGTAACAAAAATAGATGGGACTTATTTGAAAATTATTAAGGCTATTCATATTCTATAAAATTCAATTAAACATTAAGTAATGTCCTTAGAAAATATTTAAAATTATGCAAAAATTTAGCAATGTAAAATAGTTGTCTTAAGCAAACAGTGTTCTAGAAATCAACATAAAACAGCTTATCGGTGAAAAAGACAAGAGAGATGAATTATCTACAGTGAGAAAAAAATACTGAAACAATTTCATGAATAAATTCAAAACAATCTGACTAAAAAGTCAAAATTTTAATAACCGTTATTTTTTACATTAGGCGTACAATTTTTATATTTTGCCTTGAATAAGTAAATAAGTAAACAATCTTCCAAAAAATTCATAATGAGTTTTTATTCAATTGTTACCTTCATAATCAGATTTGCATGTTTCGTTTACAACGATGATAATTGAGCTTATTAGAAAGAGTAATCTGTTTTGAAAATAGGACGGGAGCTTATTTTATGGAGAAAAAATCCCTTCTCTTAATTATTTATGATTCAATGTTATTTTTGTTTTCTAAGAAAAAATTGTTATTGACTTGCTTATCGCATTACTACTTTATCCGTTTACTGTGTTTCACATTTCAACATCGAAAAATATATTACCGTTAGGATTAAATATACCATTTTATTCGTTGATATAATCTCTTTCGAAAAGTACTACTTCGGAATATCATGTCTTATTTATTATTTGTCGATGACAAAAAATAAAAATATGTTAAATAAAAGTAAAGCACGAAGAAAAATTAATAGATTTTTTTGTTTTTAAAGAAAATGGTGAAGGTACTTTGGTTGCATCTTTTCTTTTCTTTTTAATCATTTCACCACAAGGAAGGCAATAAAACCACTAAGACGCAAGAGGTTACTGGGTGTTAGAGAATATGAGAAAAAACTGTCAAGGAGAGAAAATAATAAAAGAACAAGAATTAAGACGACAGAAGATAAAACTAATCACTTGCTTGAAACAAAAATTGATAAAGCACGACTGAAATCGGCAAAGGATGGTTGTCCATTAAATCGTTACGGATAAAGATGGTAATTTTCTATCCACTGATGTTAATAAAATACTTGAATTTTCAATAAATATTTACTTTTATGAAGTTTATCTTTTTCTTTTTTTTTCTTTTTTTTTTTTTGTATCTTGTGCTGATTACTGTCAATATATTAGACTTTCTCACATTTGAATTCAACAGCATAGAAGGTAAAGCATGAAAAATAAAAGATAAACTTGAAAACGAAAAGTAGACTAGCATGTAACTTGATGCCGAAGGAGAATTTTCTTAATATTTTGGTATCTATTCGCATAATACTCAAAATATAGATTGCAAATTGCCTTTTCGAGAGAAGTTTTGATTCCCGCTTTATGGAAAATAGATTCAAATATAAAAAGCAATTCCACTTGTTAAAATGTTCAAATTCGTTTAGCAAATATACAATATTTTTGATAATTTAAATACAATTTAATAATAAAAACCATGTAGTAATTCTGACAAAACTCGGATATATATAAACATATATGTACAACTCACAAATTTATATAACTATGGCTACATATATAAATATAATATAAGGTAATCATCGATGAATGTAACCACTACGGTAAAGATCCTCTCATCTATTGCTATTATCTATCTATATCTATATCTATCTATCTATATACCTATATATATATATATATATATATATATATATATATATGTGTGTGTGTGTGTGTGTGTGTGTGTGTGTGTGTGTGTATACATATTAATAAATATACATATTATCCCTCACTGATTGCACGACGCAATCTTAAGTTGCTGATATGAACTTTCACACAATTTTGAATTATCGATATATTATAATTCAAAATTGTGTAATGTCAATTCATATTCAGCACCTAAATTGCGACGTGCATATCAGTCATTGCTATTTGTGGGGGTAATAATGACTCTATTATATTACACTGAGCACTGTTTTATTAACACGAGCAATATATATATATATATATATATATATATATATATATATATATATATATATATATATATATATATATATGTTATACCGCCATGTTAGGTCACTGGTGATCCATACTTTCGGTCTTGTGTCGCATCAAAGCTATGCTTTACTAAATCATTATATATATATATATATATATATATATATATATATATATATATATATATATTATAAATTTGATCTGGATATACGGCTACTGATAAAATATAATAAAAAAAAGAACAGACAATGCTCGTAAATGTATTTTAAAATATTTTTTAAAATGTTCCCGTTTTTCAATTTCGCCGCTTGAAAATTGCATATATCTATTATTAAAAGGTAGCATAAATTATTTGTAAAATCAAAAACAGTTTTTCCGAAAAGAAATATCGAAAATAATTAAACTTGGAAACACTTAGATACAAATAATGTTTTCGGTGCTATGATATTTACATATTAATCACTTGTTGCAGTAAAGCTATATATTTTAGTTTTTCTAATCTTTGTAGATTCACAGCTTATGTCCGGTTCACCTACGTATGTTAAGTCCAGGATACCGCCCACACTCACACAGATGCTGACGGAGCTATTCACTGTTATTCATTGCTTTCTATCAACACACTTCCTCTTCGCACTACTAATATTACTTACTACAGATATTATATCGTTACACTTCATATCACAGTTTCAACCTCCCACGTGTATACTTAGAAACAACTTTCCTTTTTTTAACAAATTTCACCACGTGCAGCTGAAATACATTTTTGTTTATTCTATATTCAATTTTAAATCTCTCTGTAGATTTTTTCTCAGCAATTTCATCATTTATGTCTGTTCCTTTCATTTTACTCTAAGCAAATCATAGTTGTCTCAACAAAAATGTAATAAATTGAATGTACTCTTGTCTAAACCGCTTTTATTTAACTTCTCCAGTATTTTGAACATGTATTATATATAAAAATATAAAATTTCCGCTTAATATATACTGAGGAAATAAAAATTCAATATAATAATTAAATTTCCCTGAATTTGTTTATTTATCTATTTATTTATTTATTTATCTATCTAACTTGCCTTTGTCTTTTTCAAGAATTTCCTCATTATTTCTCTAATCACTCACAAGCATTAAACTGTCTTTTCGGTTGTGAATTACGATCGAAAATTCATACTATATTTGCACACTTGAAATGATTTCTTTTTTAAATTGCAATTTTCCATCTTTCCTTTTTAGTATATCTTGATGTACTCGCACTAGATAAAAATAATTTAGACAGATTAAATGGCACTGTAAATTATTTAGATTTTTATAGCTTTAAGGAAATACTCAAGTCAGACGAATAAAAAAAAGTATTTTGCTTGAACGAACAAAGTTAATAATTGAAATAAGTTATTGATTTGTAAGTAAAACTTATTGAATTATACTATCCAACACTCAAATAAAAACTTGAATAATATAGAATTTAACGTAATTTTAAGAGTGAGAATATATGAATTCAACAGGTACGTGACTTGACTTAAACAAACTCTTGAAACATAAAATAAGCATAAAAATAGTATCACTTACTTGGAATGAAAATTGTAGTCGTATAAATGGTATTTTTAAACTTGAAGATCTGAAAGTCGTATTCTCTAGGCAAATCACTGGTTGCGAACCTAGACCGAATCCTTAAAAGGAAACTAAGGGCTTCTTTCTGTTTGTTTTACTAAATGGTGTAGATAATCATGTAAAATGTGTTGACATGAAGTACAGCTGAAGCAAATAACCCTCGAATCCTTCAAGATGTGAAATTTGCTTTACTCACTGACCAAAGAAAATCGAAAGGCTTATATGTTGTGGGCCAGTTTTTCAAGTGTAATCTGCGTGTCTTTGTGTGCGTATATGTTTGAATGCATGAAAATTAGAAAATGAATGAGAAAGGACGTGTGCAGTTATATGAGTACGCGTGTCGTTTGTAACTGTACACGCGTACGACGTGCCTTTATATATAAAACGGAGAGCACGTGCGTTTTTCGGTTAATCTGCTCGATGTAGAACTTTGGACTGTATGCTTATAATCTTCTGTGTGCCTTAAAATTTATTATTCTTACAGCTGCTAGTGTGGTTGCAGTTATTACTGCAACTATCACCAGAATTGTTTGTGTAGATGCTGCGGCTGCTATAGCTGCTACCGAAGCTGAGGAATATAATAGATGATGTTAGTAATAGTGATGCTGAACATGAAAGAGTGGGTTGTTGCTGTGGAGATTGAAACAGAAGAAGTAGGTTCGAGTGCAAAAAAATCAGCTGCTGCAGAAGACGAAAATGAACAATGATATAGAAGCCACAATAAATCGAAGACTTAGTATAACTCGCATTGATATCAGTTATAACAGATTTGAAGATTTATGTATTTTACATAAACTAATACTAAGGGCAAACGCGAGCGTTCACACAGCCGTATATAACATTTCAGTGACATTTTCTGTAGTGATTACTGTGTTATATGTCTACATATATATATACAGTTCTGCTACAATAATAATAATAATCGTATATATATATATATATATATATATATATATATATATTTTTTTGTTTATACGCTATTATATATATATATATATATATATATATATATATATATATATATATATATATATATATATATATATATATATATATATATATATATATATATGATATATATATATATATATATATATATATATATATATATATATATATATATATATATATACATATATATATGTGTGTGTCTCTATTTTTCCTGAAGTTTTAAACCTAAGATTTACTTTAATAAGGTTAAAAATTTAACTTTTTTTATTTCCAATAAGCAAAATACTTTACTGTATTTCAAACCGACTTTACATTGGTTTGAATGATTTATTTTACTGATTATCGGTAAAATCGATAAATTCATCCATATTCCCAAATCTGTCAACACAACATATTTTTCTTTATTAAAAAATATTTAAAAAAAATAAATATTTTTTTCCGAAACGTTGAGAAAGATTAGCTGATTCAAAGTTTAATTAATCTGAATTGAAACAAATATTGTTTCTCTTAGTTTCAAATATCGTAGAAAAGCATTTTTAACAGGGAGATGGGTGTTTTTATAGGGTAATGACAGATTTATCGACAACCTGATTTGGGAGATTTATCTAAGGAGATAATTGGTATAAAATTACAGGACGATTACAATGTGAGCGCCTTTTTTATATAATTTTTTAAACTACCCAGTAATATTTAAAATATTTTAAGCATTCTAATATTTTATTGAATTTTAGGTACTTTTAACTTTATAGTCTTATGTACGAAGACGGTTTTTGAGGAAATGTTAAAAAATTACCAATAAATTTTACATTTTCTATACTTAGCGCTCTTATTTTCTGATAATGTACTGTAAGAACGTCGGTATTTACAAAAACCGACCGTTTATACTCACATAAAAAATGTAAAATTCTTTTTAAAATATGAGAATAGAAGAATTGATTTGTTGTAAGCTTTTCGATTTATCATTAGTAAATACAGTTTCTAATTAAATAAATATATTATTGAGCCGCTACAAATTAATACAGAATTTTAAAAGATTTTAAATCTTTTAAAAATATTTAAAATAATTTATAAACTTTTAAGTTTATATATTATTCTAATTAAATTATTCTAATTAAATATTTTTAAAAAAATCGATACAATTCTTATAAAAATTCATTATTCATTGAAAAAAAAATTCCATACGACAAATACTGTCCATAATATATTTTATTGTATTTCTTATTTTACGATTTAGAGCAGATTTTCTCTAACTGGGAGGACTGTTTGATCAAATAAAAAATTGTTGATCGGAGAACTTATCCTTATAACTAAAATAAACTTATAGCACTACAAAAAAGAATTTCTCGAAATTTCATGGAATTACACAAGACGTAAAAATAAAATTATTTTTTATCATGATTTTCTAAAAAAAAAAAAAAAGAAACGTTTCAAAAAGATTTTAATTCATTTCGGAATAAGTCCTGAAAGTTTCACTAAAATCCGACAATTGTTTGTTTTTTGCAAAAAAAAAGTTCAAATTTCCCAACCAAAATTTTTAAGATTGTAAAAAGGATTAAAAAACATTAATTTTGACATCAAAAGATTCCTTGTACTCTCCTCCTATTAATAACACACTGATTTAAACGATAAAATTTTGCTATTTTTTCATCATTTCTAGCGAATTTTTTGGAGATATTTTTTGTATATATATATATATATATATATATATATATATATATATATATATATATATATATATATATATATATAAATATAAATAACTAGACTCGTTTCGAAAAACCCTCGAATTTTTGATTTGTTAATCAAATCAATTTCGAGGGAAAAAAAAAAAAAAAAAGAAAGAGCTACAAACATAAACTTCTGACGACAAAAAAAATCGCACAGATGCAGGTCTGAAGCCCAAAGAAAAAACCCCGATACGAGTAACAACTAACAAAAGAGCTCAATACAATCGTAGAGCAAACCTAGATACACCTAGTGAGCCAGACAAACCTACCTGGGTTTCACCTAAACGGATCGTCAGGGAAAGCGTGGCTTTCCTGACGATCTGTTTAGGTGAAACCTAGGTAGGTTTTTGTCTATCTATATAGGTGTATATATATATATATATATATATATATATATATATCACAAGAATAAATATGCATATTTCCCTCAAAATTGTTGGTGCCACTCTGAATTTCATGGACACAACAATCTTCAGGTATGGCTTGAAAACTGACCGTTGTAAAATTTAAATATTAATAACCTACTGTGTTAAAACAGTAGAGCAGTCCATCTTTACTTTATATATATATATATATATATATATATATATATATATATATATATATATATATATATATATATATATATATATATGAAATTGGTTCCAAAAACGTGAGAACGATGTAATTAAAAAACAGTTGCTTAACTACACACAGGACAATCGGGAGCAAAAATAATATAAAATATATGAATTTTTGAAACTTTTTATGATAACGCAAAACAACTTATTCGGAAATTTGACAGATTTAATAAAAAAAAATGATAAACAAAATTTGTCCATATTATTTAACAAAATATGTGTTCTTACATTTCGTTTGGTGGAAGTGAAAAAATATTGTCCAATATCCCAAGCGCATTCGATCACTTCTTTAGACATTTTTAAGGGGAGGAATTGTTTTTGATATTTGTTTATTTTCATTTATTACTTGGTGTGGTTTCAACTGAACCTTGTTTAACAATGCGAACAGCGTGTTGAAAGTCTTTTAAAATATAAAGTCGCCCACTTGAATTCTAGTCATGCCCAACACGCAGTGACTCGGAATTAACGGTCTTACTAGAATTCAAAAACACGCGAAATAATACCTGTCACACAGTCAAAATATATTTAAAAAAAAAAATAACATCTTTCTTCCGGTTTCTTGCTTCCCTGGCAAATACAATCTTTAATTTAAATTCAACGTGAATCATCATCTTCCTAAACACCTTTATGGTCCTTTCCTGACTTCTCACTAAAGACTTCTCTTTCACTGTCACTCACTATAACCCCTTGTGACATTATCGCCTTGCTTGGTGTGAAATGATATATATATATATATATATATATATATGATAAAATATAGGTTTACGTTATGCTATATTTATGGGTTAAAGTGGATAGAGCGGGATAGAGTGTATGTAAATATAAAAGTGGACATTGTAGTCAAGACCCAACGGCATCTAAACATATATATACATATACTCTCATTAATTATATTTATTCATAATATATATATATATATATATATATATATATATATATATATATATATATATCTGTGTATATATATATATATATATAAACATACTCAAAATGTATACACACATATACATAGATATTTTGAAAAACATATACATATAAACATATAAATACAGACACATGCACACGCATACGTGTAGATACATAACAATACTTATATATTTTTTTAAAAATAGTTTGATAGTGTTCCAGAAACAGCTATGTGGCAGAACCTCAGACGCTATGGTGGCCCCGAGAACTTCACAGCGCCCATCCGAGCTGTACATGATGGAATGATGGATCGTGTCCAACATCAAACTGGCCTTTTGGACCCCTTCCCCATGACAAGGGGATTGATACAAGTGTGCGTATTTACTTGGCGGTTATTCTTTAGGAGATTCCTGACGACATCCCTACCATGCGGTGGCCGTGGACGTGTCTCTACAGACCCCCAACATAAGACTCATTTTACACAGAAGATAATGTCGATGGGCACAACAAATACTCTGCAACGATTTCTACCAAAGACAACATATAAACACATGCACACGCGTACATGTAGATACATCATAATATAACTTATATATATTAGTCTAATTTTCTCGTTTCCTCTTTTATCTTTTGATGTATTTATACACAAGTTACAAACATACATTCAATGTATGCACAAAAAAGACACACACAATACACATATCTATATAAGTATATACAACAATATCTTTATACAACTAATGATAAAAACATATATCTAAAATTATTTAGATACATGTACATATCTGTACATTTTGATTATATTTCCTGCGTTAAATTTTATGGCTACATTTACCTGTTTATTTTTCTAATTTTAATTTTAACATTTATATATTATATATTTTTATTTTTTAAAAAGGTTTTTTTTTAGATATTACTGGGTATACTTTGTATTCTTAATAATTTAACTTATCTTTAAATTTTGAAATAGTGTTTATAATTATTTTTATTTTTATTCATTAATTTTTTAATATATTCTTAAAGTATCCAAAAACGATTTATTGTTAATGTTATTATATCTTATTTACAAATAAATTGTTAGCACTAAAATTACCAAAACATGCTTACAAGCATATTTTGGTAATTTTAGTGCTAACAATTTTTTTATATAATTAATAATTAAAAATTTTGTTTTATAAAATTCCTTTAGTTTCACTTCATTTTTCAGTAGCGATTAAAGAATACTTTTAAATTTCATCTGATAAATAAATCTTTTCCAAGGAACAGGTGGTAAGTTAAGGCTTTCAAAAATGAAACTGATTTAAGCTTAATTATAAAATACATAATCTAGTTTTTTTTATTTATTTTAAATAAAACAGTAGTTCTGTGAGAACTTATGGTATGCGGACAACAATGATGTAGATGCCATATGTAAAATGTATAGATTTCTCAAACTGCGGATTCAGAATATCGCTTGGCTTTTTTGTTTTTGTTTTTA